AGAGAATAACAGAATTTAATGGTCTATTCTTGAAACAACAAAAAAAGTAACAGAAGGAAAAATGACAAGGGTAATTACTTACTCAGAAATACAAATACTGAGGAAAAACTCGTCTATTGCAAGACAAATGGTGCAGAATGCTTTAGGACAAAACATTTTGCCCTACCAAAATTATAGACTGGAAGTGGGTAATAGTCAACAAGGTCTTCATATGTGATAATCCTAAATTCTTTGTTCTTGGAAGGGTGAATTTTAAAGTGACCATTGAAGCTGTTAGTGGCAGACATTACTTCAATTAAAAATGCAACATTATTGTGGTGGTCCATAAGTATTTTTTCTATAACACCAACTTCAAGATCACAAATTCTAAGAAGATCCAGCTGGAGGATTTCACTGGTGCTATACTTCACTCCATAAACCTCCACTTTGTCTAAGACTTTTATCTTCTCAAGATCCTGAATAGTATTAATGACATCCATTTGTTCTTTAGTCCATGCTACATCACATGCTCTGACAACGTCCCGAGAATTGAAAGAAATGTCTGGTGGAAGGAGCCCATCGCTGTGGTCCAGTGCAAACTTGAATGCATACTTTCGAGCCAACGTATAAGTAATATTTATGTAGTTTCTACAAGCCTTCGCTACACTTTTGAAAAAACAATGCTTGCTTTCAAAGCGCAAAGTGAAAAGTCTGATAAGTGGGCCAAACTTCAGAATTAAATCAGGGTAGTGCAGTAATAGGTGTTGCTTAGGATATAAGCAAGCTGGCAACAACTTTTCCACATCCAGCAGATAGTCTTTGATCAATGACTTGAGGTATAAAACCTGCTGTAGAGAAATTCTTGGAGCAGTAACTAATTCAACTATCTCTTTCAGCTGCAAGTACAGACACCACATTTCATCTTCTTTATCTTGAATGAAGTCGCCGATTAAGAAAGGTAAAACCCTGAGAAGGGTCCAATTTTCTGAGGCATTTCCCCCGAGACTATCAAATGATTTTAAAGGTGTGGGAGCATCGTTTTTATCACTACCTTCACAGGTGAAAGTTCTAATTCGATGGTTCAAAATGTCTAGAGTAAACCATTTATTCACTTGGGATAAATGTTTCAGGATCGCAGGAAGCATATTCTTCACTATACCTTCAAAAAGATCATGGCCAAGGCAAACACATAGAGAAAAATTGGACACATGAAAGCTATCTGAATTCAGGGGAGAAGGAAAGAACTTTACTCCATTATGATGTATACCGTTAAGTTTCTTGTGGGCATGCTTGGAGATAGCTTGTTTCTTGGAGGTACTTGTTGGATCTTGGTGTTCCTGCCTCCTAGCAAAGTCTAAAGCTCTCTCTTTCTCAGCAATCCACTTATTTTTGGCTATTTCCACAGCTTCATCATACTCTCTAGGAGTGCGAAACGCTTCACATTCAGTGGGGTTATTTTTGAAATCTTTAGTAGAAGTTGGACAAAATCTGCAAGAATGAGTGGCTGAGAAGGAACCAACATATCTTCCGAGGAAATGCTGACCAGCATTGTCACCCAAACCAAACATCAGGCAAACAGGAATTATTTCGCCATTGATTTCAATACCATTCAGCTTCAGGTCTTCTAATTCATCAAGGATAGGCTGAAGTACTTCTTTGATTTTGTCCACTTCTTTGAGGTCCTCTTCTAGAGTAGCTTTAAAGTACTTTTCCAAAACCAAGTACAACATTTGGATGCATCCCAACTTGGTTCGGTGCTCAGCCTTAATATTACCAAGAGCATAGTAAAATGCTAAAGGCTTATAAACACCTTGGGAGGGCCCAAATGCTCCAAAATCAAAGGCATCTTGATAAAGAAAAAGGAGAAGACATTTCTTGCCTGGGTGCTGTTTCATGTGATCAGCAAATGCCGAACCATCAGTGAAATCGGAAAATATCTTAGATGTCGTGAAGGTGTGTTCATCTTGGGGTTGAATTTCAAATGATTGTAATACCGAGGCTTTGACGACAGGGTCTTTAAGCAAAGTTGTGAGCGACTCCCTCAAGGGAAATAAATGAGCACACTTCTTTCTTCCTTTGGCATCAACACCCAAAAACACTTCTTTGGGCTCCACATATGGGTAGTGGGATTTCCAGTACTTAGTCCTTAAATGATGAGTGCCCAACTGATCAATATCTTTTGTTTTATGATGGATGTTGAAAATAGGATCTGATGTAAAGACCTTGGAAATTATACTATTAATTTCACTTTCATCAAAGCCAACACTTTCCAGTTCAGTTCTTAATTTTCTCTTGAGACAAAGATGACTTAATTCTGTAGTGCGCTGAATTTGTTCAGCAATAACTTGAACGGTGGACGTTGGCAAGACAAATTCACTTTCCATACTTAAATAAAACTTTGCATATTCATCTTTAATCTTCTGCTCTGGATATTGATCTGATTCATTAGTACGAAGAGAGTTAGCTTGAGAATCTGTGCTCTTGGAAACTTGCAGAGGATTAGGTTGATTAGTACGAAGAGAGTTAGCTTGAGAATCTGTGCTCTTGGAAACTTGCAGAGGATTAGGTTGA